GCTATCCTCCTGCCTTAGCCTCCCAAGTAGCTGGGACTACAAGCGTGCACCACCATGCCTGGCTAATTTTTTCTATTTTTTTAGTGCCCAGCTAATTTTTTTTCTATTTTCAGTAGATACAGGGTCTCACTCTTGCTTAGGCTGGCCTCGAACTCCTGAGCTCAAGCAATCCTCCCACCTCAGCCTCCCAGAGTGCGAGGATTACAGGCATGAACCACCGCGCCTGACCCTTACTTTGAATTCTTTTGGGTATGTACCCAGAAGTAGAATTGCTGGGTTATATGGTAATTCTGTGTTTAATTTTTTTGAGGAACTGCTGTACTGTTTTCAACAGTGGCTGCACCATTTTACATTCCCAGCAGCAATGCACAAGGCTTCCAATTTCTCCACATCCTAGCTAACACTTGTTATTTTTTGGGTTTTTGATAATAGCCATGCTGATGGGTGTGAAATGGTATTTCATTGTAGTTTTGGTTTGCCTTTCCCTAATGTTTAGTGATGTTGAACATCTTTTTATGTGCTTATTTGTCATTTGAATATCTTCTATCATTGTCTTTTTTTACCCCTGATATTTTTCTATTTCTGTTCATTTTCCCTTTTATTTGAATTGAGATTCAGCTTGTCAAGTTTCAAAAGAAGCTTGATTGGGATTGTATTGGATTTATACATTAATTTGAGGATTATTGGCATCTTTATAGACTTGAGTCTTTCTATTCTGAAACATAGAATGCCTCTCCAGTTGTTTTTTTCTTTTTTTCCCTGACTTTTCAGTAAAGCTTTATAAAGATTTTGCACATTTTGGATTTATTCCTGAGTATTTTATCCTTTGCATTACTGTTGTAGATGGGATTCTTTTTCCTGTTAGCTGTCCTAATGGATTATTGTTAATTGTGGATGGGATGAATGGTTTACTTTGGTCTTGTCCATGTTGATACACAGATTCTTGAAATATACCTCCTACGTTATTTTCTTCTACCATTGGTTCACGCTAGCTTGGATTATTGCTTCTTATGAGTTTACAGTCTTGTAAAATCAGAGCTTTCACAACACATTCCTCTTCCTCACACTGTTGATTAAAATATTAAGCAAGCTCTATCCTAGCACTTATTTCCAAGGTACCATTGTGTTTATATTTCTCCATCTACATAAAATCAAGTTCATGCCTACTCTAGTCTAGTATGTGTTCTCAGGAACTCCCATGATTATACATCACCATCTAGAGAAGTCCTTAGATATCCCAGTCCTGTCTTCCTTTATCTAAGTTAACTCCTTATTCTTAGCCGAATAGTGCCCTTCCATTTTGTATGAATCCTTTTCTTCCTCCCTTCCTCTCTTATCCCCTCTTCTCCCTCCTCCTTTCCTCCTCTTCCTCCTCTTCCACCTTCTTCCTCTTTTTCTTCTTTTTCTTTTTCCTAAATACCTTTGTAGCTGAGCAAGGACTAACTTCTGAACTCTGCTCGTTCCCAGCCAGGACATCACAGGTGATATTTACTATTTCAACTTTGCTAACGGGCAGTCCACGTGGGACCATCCGTGTGATGAACACTATCGGAACTTGGTGATCCAAGAACGGGGCAAGCTGTCAGTTTCTGGGGCCGTTAAGAAGAAAGACAAGAAGAAGAAAAAGGAAAAGAAAGACAAGAAGGACAAAGAGACCACCAAAAGTGCCCTGGTGAGTCAGTGGATGCCAGCTCCAAGAGAGGCCAGGGCTAAAACTTGAGGAGTTATTGGGAACCTCTAGGTGTCTATAGCTGGGAGGGTAAGAGCAACAACAACATAGTAAATTCTTGATAGTACATGAAATGAATTTTGCCTGTCTTCTGGTGGATTTTCCTTTTAGTGTCTAGAGGTTGTTACCTTCTCTAAACATTTTCTTTTTTCCCCACTTGGGAAGCACATGTTACCTAATAGGATTAGTGAGAGAGCGTGCTCTGCTGAGTATGGCTTTTTACAGTGCTAATAGTAGCGATGGTGTTGCCACTCTGAAGAGTGTGGACAGGGAGCAGCTGGTGGAGACCAGTGAGCTTAGATGAGCACAGTGTCCTTTGTCTTCATTCAGAGTCAGGCCTTCCTACTGTGGGTTCATTATTGTCTTAAAGTGGTGTGAATTCCTAGAAGTCAGATGTAGCCATAAAGCCATAATTCGGTTGTCAAAACACCAGTGCTTTCAAGATTCACAAGAAAAGCCTTGGGCTTTGTCTACTCCTGTGGATTGTCTTTGTTGCCAGTGTGCTCAGTTAATGGTGGATAACTGAAATTTAATTACATTGTGATCTGAGTGTAATTGGATTTTGAAAGGGCTCTTATCCAGTGGTCCCCAACCTTCTGGGCACCAGGGACTGGTTTCATGGAAGACAATTTTTGCACGGGATTGAGGGCAGGAGGCAGAGCTCAGGCGGTGATGCAAGTGATGGGGAGTGGCTGTAAATACAGATGAAGCTTCATTTGCTCATTGCTCGCTCACCTCCAGCTGTGGGGATCCCCAGTTCCTAAGTTTCATGGAAGACAGTTTTTCCATGGAGGGTGTAGGGGGTGCAGCCCAGTCCCTAACAGGCCACTGACTGGTACCAATCCACAGCCCAGGGGTTGGGGACCACAGCTCTTATCCATTATTGTTTTATTTCTCCCTCCAGCACATTTGAACCTAGGAGGTGGAGTTATCACCCTCATTTTTTAGGTGGAGCAGCTGAGACTTTGAGCCATACTGAAATGAGGCCCAGGCTCTCCCAGAATGCCATGGTGGTACAGGGAAACCAGGCCTTCTTCCCTTCACCCAGACATGGGGCAGGTGGGGGCACCCTGAGGAGAGGGAGGATCGTAGGAACTCAGTTCAGCCAGTGGGAGCACTGAGAATATCTTTTCAACCCTTTCAGTGGTCTAGTGGTTTTGCTTTTTGGTTATAGTCTTTATTTCCCACCAGAGCCTTGTGCCAACTTCTTAGCAAAGATTTTGTCTATCTTTTTTCTTTTTCCTAAGGTGTCAATTCTGGCTTTGAATGGTTATTGATGGGTTTATCCTTTTTGTCATGCCTAAGCTCTATGGACACTTTTCCCTCCCTCCCATCCCTGACGTACTACTCATGGTTCTGAGAAGCCAGGTAATAAACATATTCCACCAGATAGAGAAAAGAGGACAAGTAATTGCCAAATAGGTTGAGTTTTCTAATATCGTGTTTGAAAGGCAAAAGGTGGCTGAGGGGCTTTTCACTAACTCAGGATTCTTTGAAATGATAATCAGCTACCTGGACAGGCCCTTGCCTGACTAAAGGTGGAGCGGGAAGAACTGAGGGTGCTGGGGTGGAGGGTTGGGTAAAAGACTGAGTTGTGGTTGTGTGATTTGAGTTCTTGGAGCTCCCTGTTAAAAGGGTTCCTTCTGTGGTTTCAGGAAATGACGGTAATTGGACAGCCCTAGGCTGTCATTCTGAATCTTAGGGCTCAGGACAAGTACCTCAGACTTGAGTTTGTCCAGAGGACAGGCCTGAGCAGTCTGGACTTAGGTGGTTTGGACTCTCTGGAGGTGCACACTCACAACCAGGTGGTTGTTTACAGGTGGTGGTTGATTTTTTAGGGTTTCTTTTAGCCCTGAGGGTCTATGACTATGCGGACATCTCCCATCAATGCCAACTTGTGCCTTTGGTAGAAAACATTAGACTGAATTTCCAAGGCTTAGGTCAGTGGTTATGCTTTCCCTCTTCTCTTCCTCTTAGAAAATTTCTGGAGTCCGTGATAAGGTTGGTGGATTTTATAAAATTAACCAATCACAGAACCTGAGAGCTGGATGGTACCTTAGGGGTAATCCTGGTTGGTGATTTTCAGACTTTTTTTTTTTTTTTTTTTTTTACTGGGGGAGGGGGAAGGGGAGGGGGAGTTGCTTGATTTTCAGACTTTTGTTAGTAGTCTTCAAGTCACTTCATCCAGCTTATAAAAAAAGAAATAGGCTGGGCATAGTGGCTCAGGCCTGTAATCCTAGCACTTTGGGAAGCCAAGATGGGAGGATCACTTGAGGCCAGGAGTTCAAGACCAGCCTGGGTAATATAGTGAGACCCCGTATCTACAAAAAAAAAAAAAAAAAAGTAGCTGGGTGTGGTGGTGCACCTGTAGTGGTGGTGCCTCCAGCTACTCCGGAGGCTGAGGCAGGAGCATCACTTGAGCCCAGGAGTTGGAGGTTACAGTGAGCTATGATCATGCTACTGCACTCCGGCCTGGACAACAGAGCAAGACCCCATCTCTAAAAAAAAAAAGAAAAGAAATGGAGCTGCTCTGGTTGAACCTGGGGGTGTAGGTCTTGATGATGCCTCTTCTCTATGGCATGTGCACTATAGTGGCTCCCAAGGTACGGAACCCTCCAGGTTCCATGGAGCAAGGTTTGCAAGCCATTGATCTAGTCCAGCCTCCTCCTTATAGATAAGGAAACTAGAACCCAGAAAACAACATAGTTTTAGCCCAAGGGAGTTTTTTATCTTTTCTTTCCTCTTTGATTTGTGTTTCACTTTAATTGGAGGGTGGGTTTCTGCTAAGGGCTTGCCAAGGGCTAAAGTAGCAAGTATAAATCAGAAGTGCTTTGTCTTAGTTTTCTCTGCATATTTATATACCCATGTAGGAAACACAGCCTGAGCAGGGACTTCTGCCATCTTCCTTTCTCCGTGGCCCGTCCCCTCTCTCAGCACCTGGGCTTGCTGATCTGGACCTAGATCAAGAGATGCAGGCTAGAAGTGAGGGCTCCTTTAAGAAAGTGAAGAACCCATGCATGCTGGGTGATACCCCCTGGCCTCACATGGGTGCCCTTCCCAGCAAGCTGCAGCCGCTCTCCAAAAGCCAAGTTTCCCGAAACTACCAGATCTTTGCCGACGTGGAGAAAATCTTAGGCAGGACCCCAGCCCAATGCAGGACAGAGTTAGGTGATCAGCAGGGTCTGGAGAAACCCCAGAAGGTGAGAGAGAAAATCTACCTGGGGTTTTCAGACCCTGAAACAGAAGAGCTGGAAATGAGGACCAGACAGCAGAAACCCAGCGCTCTGGGCCCTCAGAACACTGGGCCTCTCCAAAATGGGCAGGATGTATTAGAAAGCAAGAGGCAGGCCCCTGTCCACTCAAAGCTTTCTGAAACCATCAAGGGCCCACAGCTGAAAGGGGAGCAGCATAGCCACAGCTTAGCCAAACTGAGCTCCACTGGCCCTGGGGGGGACAAGGGCCGAAGTCCCAGTCCCTTGCCATCCCCTGAGGAGGCGCCCTCCCTGTCCCTTTGTTCTGCTAACCACATGCCGCCTACTAGGAAGAGCAAGCTGTTCTTGTTAGATAGCAGCCCCACTGAAGACCTGAGCTGGCAGGGAGTTCTTGGGGAAGGTGGCAGCATGGGCAAGGGGAGGAGGAGGAGAGAGGCCCCAGGACTGTGGATAGGACAGGTCTCCAAGCTTGTCAACAAAGACATCCCAGGGAGCTGCAAGGAAACAGAGCTCAGTGAACCTGAAGCTCCAGGAGCCTCAGCTGAAGATCCACCTCAGGGACTTTTCCTAATACCACCTGATACCCTGGCATCAGAACCAGCTCAGAAAGCCCCTTCAGGGAGTGCCCCTGGGAAGTCTCCTACCAGTGAGAAGAGATACCCCCGAGGGTCTCCAGAGGCCCCTGATGAAGACAGGAAGCCTAGTGAGTCTGGGGCTGACTTGGATAACAGCACCAGCAACAGCCTGGCCTCACACTTTGACTCTTCTGTCCTGGGTGAGGTGAACAACTTCCCTTGGGAACTGCAGAGCTCACGGGGATTTGAGCAGGCTGTGGGTCAGTCAGGCCCAGGACCCGGAGATCAATACTCCAGCCCCTTCCTAGTTCCTCAGTTGTCCAACGTGCAGAGCTCTCCCGAGGAGCAGTCAGAAAGTGAAGACTACAGTGAGGATCAGAGGTTCTACCAGCACATCTTGCAGATGGTCAAGATCTCTAGGCGGCTGGAGGGCCTGGAGCTGCCTGAGAACGTGCAGGAAATGCCATGCAAAGACATCGCCAGCGTGGTTTGTTGCATGGCAGCTGAGTCTTCCAGGGTATTTGGTGAGGGGGAGCATGAGGCCGTCAGAGCTATGGAGAGGGACTCAAGTTTTCTGGCTCTGGGGCCAGAGCTGCTGGAACATCCTCAGGAGGTGGCCCTTGCCCCTGATGGGCAGGATACCTCTCAGCAAGCCCGTTTCCAGCTGAGCAGCAGCCTCCTCAGGCAGGGGCTAGTCGAGCCGAGCTCCAACGGAGGGCTGACTGCAGAGCCAGACAGGATGCAGCTTCACCAGGTAGGCTTCTTAAGGAGAATGGCCTAAAGGCCTCAGTGAACTTGGCAGGGAGGGAGCAGGTGGAGTTAATGTCTTACCGTAGCCATTAGGTCTGCTTTCCTGTTACTCACCCTGTCTTGATAACTGTTGATCCCTTAACTACCCAAATGGCCATCTTACAGGATGACACATATTTCAACTTTCTTTATTGCCTGCAAGATAGGGCTGAGGCTATCTATGACTTCCCTTCCCTGGCTCTAGCTGTAATTCATGGGTGGTTCACATTTTTAAAGATGATCAGTTTCGAGGGTGGGGAAGGTGGCACTGACCCTGGCACTCCATGCAGGATATAGACACCTTTCTGGGATTTGGGAAGCCTTTCTTCTCAGTTGGTTCTAGAGAGAGGTCCTTCCAAGTAGGCACCCTGCCCCAAAGCTCTGAACTTTATCTCTTCTTGGAATCACACAGCACTAGAGGGTTAATAGTCCCACAAAGGACTGAAGTCGAGGATCTCTCTCTGCCATCCAGTAAGCTGCTTCTGCCCCTTGCCTCCCAGGGTCCCCAGAAAGCCACGTGGATAACCTGTGTCAGGGTTGTGCTTTCCCTATTTGAGACTTCACTCGTGACTTCACTTCCTCTTCTACTGGGATTTGCCAAAGGGCTGGCCTTGCCCTGTCTTTCTACTTTTGTCTCTTTAAAGAATCACCGTATTTCTCATTCAGAAGTCAAGTTGGATCGGAGACCGTGGGGATCAATCTGAATTTCCCCAGCTATTCTTTTGCTGCTGCCCAGCTGTGGCTTACCCAGTTGTTCCCTCCGGCTCCTAATTGCTAGCTTGCACTGGTTCTCCCTTAGCTTTAATAACTACTGTAGCACTATAAATATCGGATAAGCTGCAGATTATCCTGAAAGTTTTAATTAGCCCAATGGCAGCAAGTTTATCCCCTCTGAAGGACAACGCCATGCACAGCCCCATACTCAGAGTTAATGGCCATCTATAGAAGATGATCAGCTAGGAGCCAGGAATATTTAATTTCCCCGCTAACCACTGATTTGGTAAAGGCCTGGGAGAACAAAGCCCTCAGCATGCCTGTCTCCCTCCCTCAAGACCCCAGCATGTTAGCAAATTAGCCATGTTAGGAGTCTATAATTTTCCATAAATATAGTGCGGGAAGAATTTTGCTTACTGATACATGGGCTGGTAGGGAGGGCTGAAGCCAGGAAGAGTAGCCCTGGTTTGCTCACAGTTTACCTTGGGGAAGCTTTCCTGGGCTCTTTTTTCTGCTACAACCAGAAGTCTGTATAAAATACCATCTTAGAGATAGCCCCAGGTTCCAATCCCATCTCTGCCCCTCGCTGGCCCTGTGACTTTGGGGCAGGGTTCTTGACCTCACCAACTTCCATTTGCTCACATGGGTACTGTGGATAATGGCAGAGCCCGCCTCAGGTTGTTGTGAAAGTAAAACGAGACATTGCATGTGAGGTGTTGAGCCAGTTCCTGATGTGCAGTGCCTGGTTTAGCCAGTGCCTGGTGTTTAGCCAATGCATTCTTGGCCAATTTTATCATTATCCGCTCCTTTTCTCCCTAACAAAGACATTCTACAACAAGCAAATCTGCAAATTCTTGTGAGTGGTTCTCACCTCACTTTCCAGATGAGCCCTCCTGTGCAGAAACGGGCCCTACTGAGGACCTGCCCACTGGTGTGGCCCCTGGGCCGAGGCTATGGGTGAGAAGATGGGCCATCTGAACTTCCTCAGCCTGACCCCCTCTGGGTTCTCCTTTCTCTCTTCAGTCCCTGTGGGGTTAGAGAGGAATGGAATTTTTGTGTTTTTTAGACATTTTAAGTTTGAGAAATGAATTTTGAAGAGTTATTTGTAAATATCCCCAGATTGCTCTCCTTGCCTCTGAGGCTTCTAATAAGCCCAGATCGTTGTAATGCGAATCCCTGCGATAATAGCAATTCCACAACGTTGGTGAAGCCCTGGGCCACTCACAAGGCCCCTTGCACTTATCTCTCCTTTGAGCCTCTCAGCAGACATTCTCAGGTGGCAAGGTACACGTCACCTCCGTCTTGCAGATGAGTAAACTGAGGATCCGAGAGTCCGTGAGTAGCTTGAGGTCTCACGAATTCTGACTCCCAGCCTGGTTTCTTTCCCCAGTCTTGGCACGAAGCCCTTGTTTGGCCCTCCTGAGAACAGGGAAAAGAAAGGCCCTGGTCAGCCCCACGACTGCCCTTTAGCAAGGCTCCTTTCAGCCACCTTCCTCATCAGTGAAAAGGGAAAACAGAGTCCTTCTTTTGTTGCTCATGTATATTTTTTCATCGTTAGTGTTTATTTTCATCAAAGTAAGGCATGCCCATAGTTTAAAAAAAGTCAAATAGTGCTAAAAGGCATATAGCAAAGTACAGCAGTTCTCTGGTACACAAAGCCCTCCCGAGAGGCAGCCACTTTCTTTTGGTGTTTACTTCCATCTTTATAAATAATATGCTTAGACCGCTTTTTCTTCACTCATCAGTTTTAAACTTTATGTATTGAGACATCTCCTTCTGGTAGATGAGGATTTGTCTCTGTGTTCCCCTCCCGCATCCTTCCTATATGGCTTCTGAAAGAGAGCAGAGCCCCATGCAGCATCTGCCAGATGTAAAAGATTGTTTACTGTGAGACAGCGTTGAGTTATGAGAATCAGGAAACCAGCCTGTGATTTCTCACACAGTTGGCACAATGGTAATTTCTGGATGTTGTGTTTCATTAGCAGCCTCTGAGCGGAGGTGGTTTAAATTTGAGCACGCAGGATTTAGATGTTTTATTTTTATATCTGTCTCCAACACTCTCAGAGCCATGTGGTTTCTTGGGTTTGTAACAAAATATTTTCTGTTGCCCAGGGCCTGGGTTCCTCGTTAGCCCCAGTTCACGTTCCTCTCGGGGGTCTGGCTCCTTTACGAGGCCTTGGGGATGCCCCACCCCCTCCTCTTCGTGGATCTCAGAATATGAGTCTGGGGAGCTCAGTGGAGTCTGGTCAGCTTGGAGAACCCACGTTGGTAAGTACGTTCTCTTTGTTCGGTGTATGTAGTTACCGTGGGACCTCCATGTGCCATGCTGGAAACCTTGGCCCACAGATGAGAAACAGAGGGAATAGGCTGAGTCCTCAAAGTTCATAATCCAGCTGGGAAGATGAGTCACACCTGTGTGAGTATGGACTCTGGAGGATAGACTCATGCTGTAGCAACATCAGTGCTTATTTCCCCATCCATACAGCCAGGGCAGTGGGAGTTGGACAAGCGAGTCATCAGTGTGAACTGGAGTCACCAAGAGTGGGGAAGGCATTCTAAATAAAGGTTATTCCAAAGGTCACCATAATGTGTCCCTTGACTGTTCTGTATTTTGGATCCTTCATAGGGTCTTAAGACTTCTGCCTTTGGAAAGGGTCTCTTGGGCTCTATCAATGAGGACAAGAATGCTCTCAGCCTCTTTGCTTTAGGAGAGGAGAACAACGAGGAGGATGAGGAGGAGAGTGATGACCAGGTAATGGTGATGTCCTTTCCCTGGTGTGGAAACCCCCTGTACTATTTTTTTTTTTGAAAAAATTTTTTTATTGTGATAATATATATATATATAACAAAATTTGCCATTTTAACCATTTTTAAGTTACAATTTAGTAGTATTAATTATCTTCACAATGTTGTGCTCCCATCACCACTATCCATTTCCAGAACTTGTTCATCATCCCAAGTAGAAACTCTGTACCCATTAAATAATAACTCCCCGTCCCCCTCCCTCTAGCCCCTGGTAACCTCTAATCTACTTTCTGTCTCTATGACTTTACCTATTCTAGGTACCTCATGTAAGTGGAATTATGCAATATTTGTCCTTTTGTGTCTGGCTTATTCCACTTAGCATAATGTTTTCAGGGTTCATCTGTGCTGCAGCATGTATTAGAACTTCGTTCCTTTTTAAGGCTGAATAATATTCCATTGCATGTATATGTCGCGTTTTGTTTAACCACTCATGTGATGATGCGTACATGAGTTGTTTCCATCTTTGGCTAACCTCTGTGCTATTTTAAAAATAAGTAAAAATGATTTTCCAGCCCACAGTTTCATTTCTTAACTAGTCTATATGCCTCCTAGGTCTGAACCAGAAGGCCCAATCAACAAGAAGCTTCTTGGCCACTTGCTTGGCACAAAGCATTGTTCACACTGGATGAAGGGCTGTTTAGTGAGGCTGCCTTAGTGGAGGTCCTGCCCTAGAGTCCTCTGAAGCCCTGTCTGGGCGCCGCCTGCCAGCTCAGCAGTACCCTACTTTTCCCTCTGCATGCCTCTCACCCTAGGCTTATGAGTTTCCTTAGACTTACCACTCATAACCGCTTTTGTTTCTAGAGTGTCCGCAGCTCAAGTGAGCTTCTTAAGAACCTGCACCTGGACGTTGGGGCACTGGGAGGTGACTTTGACTATGAGGTAAGATTCCAAAGCAGGCAAATCTATCAGCCTAGTATATCCCTCCTTCCTTATATTAAGCCTTTCTAATTTGTGGGATGCATATTTGGAAAGAGACATTTTGTCCTAGGCCTGTCTAGGTGGCATTTCTGGCGTTTGGGAAGGAAAAGAGGGGAAGGGAATATGTTCGTTTATTCATTTATCAAAGAATCACTATTTAATCAACATTTCTACATGAGGTACTTTTCTAGGTCTATAGGTCATACAGGAATAAATAAGATACGATTACTACACTGTAAGATTCTGTAGTGTCGTAGAAGAGAGACTTAAATGACTAGGACACAGGCTGGAATACGATGAGGCTGTAAGGAAGGTAAGCAGAGTGCCATGAGAAGGGAGAATTAGGGGACTCCTGTCCCTTTGGATCAACCAGGAAAGGCTGTATTGAGACATTGACATCTGCGGTGAAACAGGAAGGAGGGTGGGCAGGTGAGAGAGAAGTCCACATGCAGGGAACTGCACAGGCAGAGGCAGAAGGTACAGGGTAAGCTTGGGGCAGACGAGGTGTCTTCTTAGACTGGAATGCGGAGCACGTGTGGGAGGGCAGTGGAACATGAGACTGGGGGGAGTAGGTTGGGTGGGCCCTGGAGCACCTCGGTGGCAGGCCGAGAGGTTTGGATTGGATTACGCTGGCATTGGGAGCCATCTGAGTTTTTTAACAGAGGTGTAACAACATCCCGAATCTTAACATGTGTTGAATGCTGGCTCTGTAGCAGGACACTGTGCTAGGATCTATGGGAGGTATGACATGGCCTGGGTTGTCCTCAAGGAGTGTGCAGCTGGGGAGAGGGAATGGATACTAGGTACTTGGCACTTAGTAAGTACTCAGTAAATTTTGAATGAATGAATATTTAGGAGCTATAAGGCAGAGCAGTATGTGTACAGAGCTATAGCACAGGTACACTGGGGGAGTCCTTTGGGGGAAGACATTACTTCCCTGGATATCACAGAAAACTTGTTAGAAGAGGTGACATTTGACCTGGGTCTTGAAAAGTAGATAAATTACAGACATGGAGGATGTGAGGGGATGTTCTAGGCAAACAAACAGCTTGAGCAAAAGCATGAGGGCTGGAAAATACAGAATATGGATGGGAGTAGCTTCTAGAATACCCAC